ATACATGTGTAAGTACATATACAGCATTCACACTCACACGCACGCACACATGCACATGAAGAAGCACCTACGCATGTACACACACATACATGTCCACACATATACAGCATTCACACTCACACGCACGCACACATGCACATGAAGAAGCACCTACGCATGTACACACACATACATGTCCACACACACACACACACATGCATGTGCACACGCACACACATGAACACAATAAATAAAACATTTATACTTAAAAATAGAAAGAAAGAAAGAAAGAAAGAAAGAAAGAAAGAAGAAAAAAAAGCCTATCTACATTACCTTGCTGTGAAACCTTGAAATTTGACAGTCTCTGCCTTAAAATCTGAGCGTCTGTGTGCTTGAATGGACACCCATGAGCATCCCCTGGCCCAATGCTCGTCATGATAATCTTCATACAGCTGTAAGGTGTGTAGTCAGTTCTCTTTCCTTCCTTTCCGTAGTTGAAACGAATGTTGTAGGCATACTGTTTGTCAAACTGTCAGGCAAGAGTCGTAATATAGTGTAATGTCATGGCAAGTGGCATTTACATACATTTCTGTAGGAAAGGGCTCATCATGATCACAAAATATACACACTTCAAAAATATAAACAAAGAAAATGATGTTGAAGAATATAATACACACATATATATCCCTAAATATCAAAACCTAATGAGACCCTTAGAACCACGTGAGAAAAAGCAGACACTCTGGAATACCTCTACCTCCCCTAAAGGGGAAGCAAACACATGCCTAAGAGTCCTATAACAAAGATCAGTATCTTGTGGGTGGGTGCTTCATGCTCAGGGTGATGGTGTGGTAGCCTAGATAGTGTTAAGTGCTTTGTATGCCTTCTCGCTTGCAGCTGGCTAGCCTGGTGTGACTCTTCGCCTCTCCAAGACTAAGCCTCATCAAGACTTCTTCAGTGCCTCCTCATGGCACCAGGTTGATCCACCAACAATTAACTTGGATGCGGGTAGTGTCAAGGTTCCTTTGCTAGACCCACTGATCAGCAAGGATCCAACCTCCCTGACTGAAGTCAAGGGGGTGATCTCCAAGAGTGGTAAAGCAGCTGGTGTCTACAGCATCCCAGCTGAACTGTTAAAGGCTGGTGGAGGGGCTTGCATGCTGTTATGTCTGACATATGGCAGACTGGTACCATTCCCCCTGATCTGCTGAGGGGTGTGGTCATCCCTCTCTGTAAGGGGAAAGGAGATTGGTGGGACTGCAACGATCACTGAGGCATTACACTGCTCAGTATACCAGGCAAGGTTCTCACTCACATCCTTCTGAGACGTATCAGAGACCACCTGCTGAGGCACCAGAGGCCAGAGCAATCTGGAATCATTCATGGTAAGTCCATAAGATGGCATTCGATATGGTGCATCGCAAATCACTCTGGGAGATCCTGAGACTAAGAGGAATTCCAACAAGGATTATTGAATTATTAGCAAGCCTGTATATTGGTACTGTAAGTGCTGTAAAGTGTGGTGGGGGCCTGTCGAGCTTCTTCCCTTATAGTTGAGGAGAGAGGCAAAGCTATGTTCTTGCACCAACACTTTTCAACACTTGCATGGACTGGATACTAGGTAGAGCTACTGTCCAAAGTTACTATGGAGCAAACCCAGGTAATATCAAGGTTCACCGACCTTGACTTTGCTGACAATGTTGCTATTCTATCTGTCTCTGGAAACTCTTGGGGTGGCTCTTGATGCATTTAGCAATGAATCAAAGTTCCTGAGGCTAGTGGTCTCCTGGACCAAGATCCAGGACTTTAGGGGTCTGATAGGAGATCCTGTTCAGTCAGTATATGCTTGCAGTGACAAGTATCCAACTAACAGTTAAACCACAAGACTGGTATATGACCTGTTGCACAATCCATGATCGCCAACTGGGGATATATGGCCACCTGTCTCATTTCCCACCAGGTTGTCTCTGTTCAAGACAACCCTGGGTGGAGAAGGCCTTGGACCTAGGAAGTCGTGGCTTGGGCAGATCGATCAAACCTGTCATGAAGAGCTAGAGATGTGCCAAGCCCCTGCCTGGCAGCTCACCATGAAGGACACTCATAGGTGGAAACAAAGGGTAGATGCAGCTATGTACCCCAATCAGTGTTAGCTCCCCAATAATGATGATGATGGTGTCTTAACCAAAGTTAAACAGCAAGCCACCCTGATGCCCAACCACACCCAGACAACTATATTGCACCATGAACCATGATGACATTTTGAGAATATATAGGCTGTGCTAACTGACCCTTTTGGATGAGAACTGAGATAGAGTACAAGTTACAAGACAGTATTCCAGAAAACAAGACATTATTTCAGAAGATATTGTACATATTTTGTATATACATACATACCTTATCGACATCCATGTTTTTGGTAAAATGTGATCGCCAGAAGTACAAGGCATCTTCCAGACTCAATCCTGCTGCCTTCAGGAATAGACCATAGGTAACTCGACCTCCATGCCGCAGGTGGTGTGTGGTTCTCAGTGTGTCATTCAACTGTCTCATGCACAACGGGAATGATGTTGCTGCCAGCTGGTCAATCATGTCTGGGGTGATGCGGTGTTTTTCTCCACCCTTCTTCTGGGAATAATCACTGCCTGTGTACCGCTTGTCAAAGTCTTGAAGGAGTCGCATTAACCTTTCATCGTCCTCTAGTTCAGGTAAAGCTCTGTTTGTCATCTAGAAACAAAAGTTTTACTTTATATATTTGAAACCCTAAATGCCGGCTGTTTTAAGTATATGTGAGGTAGCCATAGAAATAGGTTTTTAATTAAGTCTAGCAAAACGTGCATAAATGAATCACAACAGTTGAGAAACAAGGAATTTGGTGTTATTTGCTTCAAAATTAATGTAGGTGAGTGCTGGTAAAGTAGAGTAACTACAACCATTGTACAGTTGAATACTTAAACATATATAATCATTTGTTTCATTTTTAAATAACAGAAAACTAAATTATCATTATTAGTTTTATGATTATCCTCATTACCACCATCACCATTAAAATTTTCATCATCAATGTAATCATTCAAATCATCACTTTCAAAATAAAATCACTGGACAGATATGACATCAACACATCATGAGCTACACTGACACCCTCAATATCTATACAGACTTATAATATGGTTTCTTTTCCCAATAATTCACATGAGACCTAAGACACAAGAAGGGTATGTACACAAAACTCATACTATGTACACCATCGTGGCTGACTGTTAAGTCTGTCTGTCTGTCTGCCTGCGATTCAAGTGACATGTTACATACTACTCATTTACATCTCATTAGTTTACCATTACTTGTTGGTGAACACTTTTCAAACTTTTTAATCTTCTATTATATGAATAGAACATAAACACACACACATACACATACACATACACACACACACACACACAATGTATCAGCACTGTCTCTTTACTTTTCATCCATTTCGTATATCTCATTCATAATCAGCTCACTAAAACATAGAATAATTGATAAAAAATGTTTCCTTGAGCTCACTTCAATGGTGTAGGTAGTACATATACACAGCAGTCCACTGTAACTACACATTACACATCCAACAACTGTCAGCCACATCATCATATAAATATCTTGCTGTACACTTCTCACTTAATCTCATTTAACATAGATAACATCATAAACAAAGCTCTGGCCACTTCCAAGAGAAAACTGCAGAACTTGCCACTGAATCCATCCATAATTTTAAAAAATTTCCCTTTACCAATTGGGAGGCAAATGTATTAAAATTAAGAGCAAATGCTACCAGAAATGAAAAAAACAAAAACAAGTAGAGGTGACTGAGGACTTCCACCTTCCTCAAATATTAAAAATTCCATCAATAGAGAATAATATTCTAGATCTTGTTTTTGATTGTATGGGACAGAGATAAGTAAAATATCATATTATGCAGTTCAGTCAGACCACACTATCACTGAAGTTACATAAGATAAGTTAAGAAAATATGTAGGTAAGGAAAGCAAAGTAGCAGAGGCATATAAAAGCCTTAAATCACTGAACTTCAGTCACAATCAAATAGACAGGGAGATAGCAAATAAATCATTAGATGAAGCACAAAAAAGTACTGAAACTCTACAAACACCAGATGGTATGCCAAATTAGTCCTATGATGCCTGTAGAAATGTTTGTAAGAGATGGGTGCCCCCAGAAAAGATTGAAAACAAAAATCTTATCCCAAGAGATAAAAAAGTTGTGCAAAAAGAAGAATAAAGTAAGAAAACTAAATATGACAAGGATAATGACATAAAAGAAAAGATGAAATCAGAACTAAATGAAATAAAAGATTGGTTAAAAGAGTCTATTCAAAATCAGAAAAAAAAACAGGAAAAAAGACCAGTTCAAGGTATAAGAAATAATGCTAAGTAGTTCTACTCCAATGCAAACAACAAATTAAAAGAAAAGTGTGGAAAATGAACCACTTGAAAATGAGTGTACCTTAATAACTGCCTCAAATAAAATGGATTTACTCTTCAAAGAGCACTACAAAAAAGTTTTAATGTGCCTAAATCAAAGTCAGTAATTACAGACACTGGTCAACATTGCAGAGTTGATAGTAATGAAACAAAGTCTTTCAAAGAGTCATTACTGAAGTAATAATACACTGCAACAAACTCAGCAGTTGGACCTGGAGAAATTCTTGCAATAAAAAAAAAATAAATAAAATAAATAATCCTTAGATAGAAGAACTATCCCAAGGCCACCCAAGGAGGGAATATAATTCCTATCTACAAGGGTGAAACAAAGGTCAAGCTAAAAATTACAGACCAGTGATACTACCAAACATAAAAACATATGAAAAGGTAGTAAATAGAAAAAAAACGTTCAGTCCCTAGAACAGGAAAACAAGACAAATCCTGGACTGTATGGCTTTAGGAAGGGTAATTCTTATCTATTACAAATCCTGAACCACTACAAACACATACTATGAGACTTAAATGAATAATGAAGTTGATGTAACATTTAGACTCGGCAAAAACTTGCAGTAAAGTCAACCATTAAATTCTACTCAATAAGAACCGTGAAATCAGAAAAGTAGGAATATGGATACTTATCTATTCATTTACTTATTTTGCGCACGAACGTGTGCGGGGGGGTGCGTGTGTGTGCAAGTGTGTTAGCAAGAGCAAGCGAGCGAGAGTGTGTGTGTGTGTGTGTGTGTGTGTGTGTGTGTGTGTGTGTGTGTGTGTGTGTGTGTGTGTGTGTGTGTGTGTGTGTGCGTGTGTGTGTGTGAGAGTGAGTGAGTGAGTGAGTGAGTGAGTGAGTGAGTGAGTGAGTGTGTGTGTGTATGTGTGTGTGAGTGTACTGTGTACATAAGCATGATTTGTGTAAGCCATTAGACATAGACCACGTGGCTCGAAGTCCAGCCAGTAGAAAACCATCGATTCAGCAAGGAATTAGATGATGAGCTTATCTGACCTTGTTTGACCCTCAGTGGACCAAAACTCAGTGCTTACCCTAAGACTCGTCTCATGTGTTCCCTTCACTGTGCAGTAATCTTCCATAATAAAGAGTCAAGTCGTTATAGAACTATGACTATCCCTGTAAACCATTGTACAAATGTCCTCTCTATATACCTTTTACAGTGAATGTGAGTGCGAGTGTGAGTGAGTGTGTGTGCATGGGTTGCATGCGTGCACATGTGCATAGGTAAATACAGAACATTGCATGTATTTTGAATTTGATCATTTTTTATCAAGACTGAAATAATTCATTCCCTTATATGACCAGTGGGTTGTATTGCAGAGACCAATTTTTCTCTCTCTCTAAATGTGATCTGACCCACTGGTGTTCACATTTTTATCCTACCAACACTCTTTAAAATATCTAACAACCTAATACCTCTTCCAGTGTTAATAACAAAAGCCACATTGGTACAGCAAAGTTTTTTTTTCCTTCATAGTAGGAAGGATTGGTATCATCCCCAATCACAGTGGCACCTAAGCTGTTGGATCTGCGAGAAAGAGATGGCTTGCCATGAAACAATCTGTCAGAGGGGCAGGTGAAAGCAATGTCTCAGAGAGAAATCTGGCCAAGGACATGGGTGATGGGAGCATTTCATGAGATATTGTTACTAAGTGGCAGGTGATAGGGACATTTCACCATGAGTGCACAAAGTTAGTGGAAGAAGAATGGACTTGGTAGGCATTCAGGAAGGGCTCTTGCATTTTTTCCACTAAAAAATTAGAGTGGAATGTACCATCTTTGAGCCATGCTTGGAAGAGCACTGCTCCAGGGAGGACTCTATTTCCATGTGCAGGATCACATTCCTGTTCACCTCCACCAGTGTGGCATGTTTTTTTTTTTTAAGAGACATTTGAATATCATGAAAAAAGAAAGAAAAGTTACTTATTGTTATTATTATTGAAGAGTTGTTAATATGGAGTCTGCTCAGCAAAAAGTCTATTCCCATCATTAAACAACAAGACAAAATAACAAATACAGACCACAGAAAATGTCAAAACAGGAAAAAATGTGTATACAGAAAAAGAGCTAAAAGCAGAGCAAACAAGAGGCAAGGAGTATGTATACCATGCAAAAGTGACAGGCCTACAAGCCACACACCTGAGAGTCACCACTAAAGTAAGCTAAACCACAATGCACCTGGATCCAATAAGTTAATTGTCCTTAGCTGGAGATCATGAGAAAATGTTTGAAAAAATTGAAAAGCTTCCTTCAATTTTAGTGTATCTAATTGCGATACTAATCCAATGATATTGTTGCTACTAAAGAAAGATGAGATACTCTAAAGTGCCATTTTCAACATAGTCTAGCATAGCTATGGCATATGAACACCAAATTACCATGGAACTGCTTGAGACTTGCAGCCAAGCATATAGACATACTATCAAATACAAGGTCACAAATAACCTCATCTGATGAACAGTGTTCTAAATGACAAATGTTGAGAAAGCTATAAATGAGAATGAATATAACTCCACATGACAAAAGATGAGCATTTCCGATTAAGATACAACCAAAATGCTTCAAAGACATCTCTTGTGCTACAGAGGTAATGCCACTCATTTATGCTTTTTTCTAACCTCATTAGCACTATCATAAACAATCACAAGAAGCATAAGCAAGGAACAATCAAAACTCACCCAGCAAGAAATATCTTACATACAATACATATAAAACAATATCACAAGCATTCCTCCTATGCCCCATACACATTCAGGACAGGCTATCCCATGTCACATAATCCCAAAATCAGGCATGCAAGTCCCAGAATAAAGAAGTTGGTAGTCTGAGATGAAACCTATATATCACAAGTATAAAATTAGTGTTAATGAAGAATTATGTTAATCCTAATGTTACCCCAATTGCCATGGATGGCAAGAATACATGCCATGCCCACTGTAATTTTAGTTTATTTATTGTATTTACACATAAATGCTTAATCACCAAGATTTCAGTTATTAGTCCTACCTATCTCACATTTTTCTTGATTTATGGAAAAGGTCTTTTGTATTATTTCATTGTCTTAAATATTACCAATTTTAAGAAAAAATTTAAAAATCACAACCTCAATAACAATAATAACAGTATCCATATCAACTGTATTAACCCATTGCCGCCGGGGAAAATGAACAAAAAATGGGGAAAATACTGTACTCAGTTTTTTATATTTTTGTGAAATATCTCTGTACATGGATGGCTCTTCTAGTCCTGATTTCACCTTTCCTTGAATTGGCGGGAAAAAACGTATTCTTACTAGTGCTATAAATATAGATGGTGTTATTTTTAACAGCAAATTAGGATAATGTTAAATATTTTCATAAATCGGTGAAAAGGGTGAACGGGCGAGACAGGCAGTACTCGTAATTGGCTCACTGGTGACTTAGTACAAGTGAAGCCATCTATATATAAAAACAATCAAACAAGTCAACTCACAGTGGGCATGGCATGTACGTACATGCCATCCCCGGAGGCAATGGGTTAAAAAGAAAGACACATTTCCCACCAATTCAAGGAAAGGGGAAATCAGGATCGATCACTAGTGCCTATTGATAGACTCCTTGCCGGCTGATCAGATGTATAGTATCTGTAACAAAATTCACAAAGAAACTACAGGAGACAGAACATAAATCTATGGTGGTTGGGTTAATGTTTACGTACATATATGTATTTAAATATTAATATGATATTCTCATAATAGCTTTACTTTTATTATTATCACTAATACTCATTTACAATCTAATTGACATGTATTGGCACAATCTTTGTAAAAGGTCATGAATAAGTATGAATTTAAGGGCACTGTACATAAGAATACATGCTCCCACTCGTTTGCTCAGTACTAGCATGACAGATCTGTACCAGTATATATATTAGCTAACAGATTATCAAAGTGATAAAATGAGTGTTTCATTATCCATTCCACCACAAAGTAACAGAAGAACAGCGAGGTACTAGTATTAAAAAAAGTAACCATTTGTATCATTAGACTAAGTAATCACATGTATTACATTACAAAGTAAAGGAGTGATTACACAGAACAAATCATAAAAATAACAGCAGTTGAAAACTTCATAAATAATTTTAACGAATACCTCAAAAAATGACTACACAAATGCAAACATTACTTTCAATTCTATTCCAAACTATCTTCACATGCAAGATACATGCAGACCAAAGCCCTGCACAATAAATTTGAGACTGGGATTGAAAATCAGCAATGATGACTCCTTTTTTTTTTAGTGGGGATGTAGGAACATGAGAGGATGCTAGTTATGTACTGACTACCTGGCTTATAGACTAATTGCATGACTGACTGCTTTTGTGGCAATGTGATAACATAAGTGAAATGCAATGTAGTCATATCAGCTGTTTAGTGGTTAATCTGACAGGTTTAGGGTGATTTATTAAGGAACACATCTTCACAGACATGCTATTATCAGCCCAGTCCCTCATCTGCTCCCACATTCACTCTTGTATCCCCTACCTCCCTTTTCTTTCTATCATGCCACAACTACCCTTGCACATAGCAGGCTACAAATCCAACATATACCAGTTTCAGATAGTAGTTTAATAATGGATTTCCATAGGAAATAAAGTAAATTTTCTTGCAAAGACTAGAAACCATGTTTTCAAATATTATGTATAATCCTTTTTCATCCATATCATACTCAAACAGCATATATATTTATGTGCTGTATCAAAGAAAAACTACAAAAACAAGCAATAAAATTTATACACACAGCAAGAGCCTGCGAGAGGTTGGCCCTGAAGCAGGTAGTGACCAACGTGACCAAGTCCGTGTCAGGAACATAGGCAAAGCCTCCTTTTAAGTATACCTTTCTGGATCGGACTAGCTCAAGGGCCTCTGTGAAAGGTACCTGTCAAAGACATTAAATCAATTAGAAAGAACTTGATCTGCAGTTCCTGAACAAAGAAAAACACATTTTGTTCGGAGTATATGACTAGGTTGTGCCAATACTTTAACAGGGGACACACATACAGTACAAATACAAAATCAGATATTGATGGCAACTTGAATGTGATAACTTTTTTTTTTTTTAATAAAATCTTGGATCAAATAAATACTAGAAAGTCATCACTCCAATATTAATATGATCTGCAAAGAGCATCTTCAGGATAAAGAAAAAGTAAGTTTAACAGACTGAAGACTTCACTGAACACTGACAATTGAATAATCTAAAACCTGTAACCTCAAAAACAAAATGTAAAAACAAATTTTATATGGAATACAATCTATTACATTTATATGACAACTAAAACAAGACAAGAAGCTGCACTGTAAGTGGTTAGATTAACTCAAGCACTGTAAGTTAAGATATAAGCAGTGAATTTGTCTACTGTTTGATTGGAAAAAATGATCTGAAGTTCATCCTCTACTATTGGGCTACCCTTGCAGCTGATCTTCTCAAAGAGAGAAGAAAAAACCCACCTTGAAGAATGTACGTCCTTCCATCTGATCCACACCACTAATGTT